AGATTAGGGAATCAACTATTAAAAAACCCATTCATCATGGAGCTTTCGAAACCCTGACACGGCGTACCTTCTCGGCATGCGCAATCTACTATGCAATACATAAATTAGAAGGTCACAAGGTTATTCAGTGGCTTATCAGTCGATATCTTCCTTCTGTTAAAAATAACACCACAGCCACAACACGTAACGCAGTGAGACTCTGAATTAAGATTAAAAAACGCATCTGTCTACATATAATCGATCAACAACCAAACGACCAAACAAATAGACATTAATGTGAAATTCGACGGGGCTTTTTGATGCTGGAACAGCATCGAAAGGAATACATTCACCGGCGCAAACTTTAAAATTGCATTTACGTATGATTAAAAATAAGATAACTGACTAAACCTTACTGACTAACTGCTTAGTTAGCAGCACTGCTGCACATTCTCGAAAGAGACGCTTAAAGGCCGAAATTCGATACAAATCAATAATTCATACTACACGTAGAAGCTCAAAGAAGCCTCCCGCTGTTGAAAGCATATCGAAAGAGGAAAGTATACTTATAAGTACACAGAAGTGAGGGCTCTATCAGAAAAAGCAGGGTTTCCGATTAATTTGGTTGAAGGTTAATGAACTACCGAAGCTTGATATCATGTATTAAATGGCTTAGCGAAGTCACAAATAAACTGAATAACATAAACACAAACATCGACCAAGTCTACGTTAAGAAAAAATATAATATACGGTAAAGTCAGCTAGACTAGACAAGTAAAATCTCGTAGATAACTATATAGTGAAATTGTGATTGAATCAACCGTTCAAGTAAATCAACTGGAAAAATGATGGCCTCATCACAGCTTGAAGCTAACAAAACGAAAAAAGAGAAATTAACGTTAAGCAGGTAAATTTACATTCCATTAGCAACTGAACACATCCTGGTCATAATAAAGTGTCTCTGCATTTTCGAGTGACCAGTGTATGTTTTATCAACTATACAAAATAAAACCGGCTGATCGTGTTTCCATGTACAACCAGGTCCCGATGGCCCGATGCTACTTTCATCAGGTTCAAATGCAAGGGACGACTGAACAGGATCATCGACGGCTTAAATTTACCGTCCATTTCAGCGATTCTCTTCAGGCAGGAAATTATCTCCTACGGTCAAGTACTCCCCGAAATAGTCGAGGCAGTCTTTTTCAGTAAACCGGCATGAAAAATGCCACAGAATCATGGAAAAGACACAACTAGTCACAGATTAACTCCCAAACTCGCTAGTTGCATGAGATGACACAATCTCAAGGCTGAACGGCAAACAATAAAATAAATAAATCTGTCACTGAGCCGGTGC